ATGTAGTTACTAAATTATATGGACATCAATATTTCAAATAATTACCTATATTTTGTGTATAGTTTGAGTATATCTAAAAAATTTAGTTCATAATATCACGGATAAAAATGATTTTTGGAGATGAAGTGCTTCTCGTTGATCGCATCAGCTATGGAAAATATCATTGAAGTTTTTATTTTAGGGAGGGGGGATCCAGTATAAAAATACAGATTTCATATACTTCAAATGATGACGAAAGACTTGGGACAAAATTTGTTGCAGTTCAATTACAATGCTATAGATTCGATTCCCACGCAAAGACTAAGTGAAAGAGTTCTCGTTGGAGACGTAATATCTATCAGTCGCTGCCTGTCGTGAACACTCACAAACGCTTTCGCAAAGAAATAGCAGAATTATTCATAAATTCGTAAACACTTCTTGAAGAATCAAATTAGAAGAAAAACACACTAAAGCAAATTTTATAATTAGGCAAAAGAGCAACATCAGTTTAGCGTAGATTTTTGAATAAAACTTTATCGATCTCAAACCATAGATCCCTCTTCTTCAGGAGAAAAAAAATCGTTTTTCTATATCAGACACAGGTCTCTCTTTCTCAGGACAAAATTTCTGATGGATGTTTAATTGGCAAGGAGCTAACCGCTATCCTTTATAAAATTCCTGCATATAAATATGACTTTTCTATACTGATTAACTTTACGTGCATAAAGAGAACACCTACGGATAATTTGGAAGATACTTTACTAAATATTCTAACCAAATTTGTATGTGAAATCAACTTTTTATGGTAAGTAGTAAATTATAGTTAATGTAAACGACATTATAAAGAAAATCCAAGCATCAGAAGCATTAGGAATTGTTACTTCAAAAGAAAAATACTGAAAATAAAGTCTTTGGGTTTTAAATGTTTAAAGACGAGCATTCACGTTCGGCTGAATTCTTAAAACCTCAAAGAAAAGAAAAAAAAGAGAAAAAAGAAACCAAAGAAAAGAATAAAAGAAGTATCCCATTTCGTAATTTCTAAATACAAAAGGTGAAATTACATTTCCAGGCGCATTTAGACTTAAAATGTGGGTACTTCTAGTATGCATTTCCGTGAAAATCAAAATAACTTAGTACATTTTAGTTTATTCTTATGCGATGCTTTTATGAAAGAAAGCTTCTTTTCGTAGATAAAGTTTATAAAACATTCACGAGGAAAATTTTAAATTAGATTTTGCGAAATTCGTTAAGATATTAGAAATGTGTAGGAAAATAAACTTCTCAAATTGCATTTTAATTCCTAAACCGTAAAAAAAAAAGAAAAGGAAAGGCGAAAAGAAAAGAAATGAATAAAGTTATTATTTTATGAAATTAAGTTTTCAAGCACCATATTCTTTTTGCTTGAAAATATCCATTTAAATAAAACAAAATTTAAAAAAAAAAGTAGAAATAGATATTAAACAAAATTTTAAAAAAAGTAGAGATAGATATTAAACAAAATTTTAAAAGTGGAAAAGACAAGTCGCCTTCTCTAAAAAAATTTATTTTAATTATCTTATCACTTTTCATTTCTCCAATGAAAGAAAAAGATCACGTAAATAATAAATTTTCTTTCTCCAAGAACCATATTTTAATTGAATAACAACATAAAAATATGACTTTAAGTCTTAAACTTACCTGAATTAAATAAACATATAATCATATTAATATTTTGAAACAAGTCGAATCATTTAGAACGTCTTCTTACACCAGTTAAATTTCATTTATTTTTCATCCGAAATGTGGTTAACTAAAATAATGTCAAATATAATCCTTAATTAATCTGAAATTTTACATTGAAATCTCGTGATATTGATATTGGTAGAAATAAACTAAAAAATCTGAACTGTATTTTCAGTTTATTACTTTTTACAAAACTAAAACAGTTGCATAACCCAGTACTAATTTAGACAGCAAAAACTTAGTAATCGGTATTACTCATAATATACTAAAAATATATCTTTCACGGTAAAAATTTTGTAGTGTATATTCATACTTCCATTTGAAATGTGATAAAATGGATGTTAATTTACTAAAATAAAATTTGATGGGAGTTTTGATATACATATAGAAATTGAGAATATAACCTTATTGTACATAATATAACTGTGATACATTTTTAACTGAAAAATTACGCAATTAAAATCAATGCTGTAATAATAATTATTTTATAGATGGAAATATATTTTCTCCGTTCTGATGTCTTCTATTAAAAAAAAGTCTATGCAAACTTGATAATTAAGTATTTGAATGTTAGAAAGTATGTCGATATTTCCGTCTAAAAGATTTTAGTTTCTTAACAATTTTACAATTTTTATAAAGGTCAAATGGATGATAATATGAGATGTAAAATTAGGAAAGAAACAAATTTAGTTTTGCCTGAAATTGTATAAAAAGTCGGTCGATTTCGATGGCGATCAGACACAATTTCCTGTTCTTCACCAGGCCCACCAGCCGCCGAGCGGTAAAGTCGCTGAACACTGGTAGTTCCGACTTGGGTTCTAATCCAGGCGAATGGGTTGGCTGCTTGGGAGCTTTCATGGTTTTCCCATGTTTAACGTGTATACGAGCCAGCTTCCCTCAGAAACTCCTCCACGAAACCATCCCTTCCCTTAGGCAGATAACCTTAGCGTGTTTTGTAATTTCAGTAAACTAAACCAAACCATCCTGTTTTTCAGCAAAACATATTACTTCTTCAGAAGAGGAAATTTTATGCTATCGCCCTCAAAATCGACGGAGTTTTATTCAAAATTTACACCAAACCAAGGTTGTTTTTGAGTATAATTTAAAATCCTACACACGTAGTATTTCTAATTAACATTCTTTTCAAAGCAACAGCAGGAGTTAAGTCTTTGAAACGGTCATGCCGCATGAAATTAAATTTTCAACTGAGAACATTTGAAAGCTGTAAGTGATATTTATTTTTAGTATAGTATTCAAAGTCGAAGGAAGAAATGAAATGTCACAGTGTTCACGTTTATTTATAGGTTTTCGCGGTACAGGAAATTATGCTTGGAAAGTCTTACGAGTTAAAAAATAAAATATTATGATTTAAAATTTCTATTCATCTACCGAAACAAATTTTTTTATTCCCTTTTGCTAATAATTTTAAATCTTTTTTAAGACAAGTAAAAAAATGTGACTAGAATGCTTTTTCCATATTTTTATCTTTAAAAATTGAGCAAAACAACAAGAATAATTAATAAGCTTTAAAACAAAACTTGCACAATATTGTTTCTACATTATTGAGTACCTAATTTGAAACTTCTGAGTAAACACTGTCCGTATATATATAAAAATGTAACTGCTATTTATTTTATGTTAAAATTTCTGATTTATTTCATAGATTGAGAACCGGAAACCATCCAGATTGGAAATAGACTTTTACAACTTATAAATGCATTTAAAGACAAAAAATAAATAAATAAATAAATAACATATTTTATGAGGTGTTTGAAAAAGAATAAATAACATATTTTATGAGGTGTTTAAAAAAAGGTGGCTATAATGTGTATTTTTCTAATTTCAATTTCAAATATGTACTTTCAATTACAAAATTTATAAAAATAAGGTAAAAGCGTTTATGAAAACAGGTTTAATGGACAGTTTCTGTAAATATAAAACCTATCTTTTACACGATACTCATATCCAATTAATACAATATTCTCTAATATGTTAAACGAAAAAACGTCGATCCCTTTACATGGAAGTTTCGTGGTGATATTCATGAAAGAATTAATTGTGTTTAGATCGTTTTTAAGTACCTATTAATGGACGTCTCGGAAGTCCCCGCGGTCAGATTTCGAAATGAATATTTTTAAATCTATTTTCTTTTCAACTAATTTTTTATTAATGTGTTTTACTGGCATGCTTGTAGATAACTGTATGAAAGCTAAGTGGCAACATTGCCACTTATACCTTCCATGAAAAGATTAAAAGTCAATCATTTTAGTAATGAGTTTATACACAGAGAATCAGATTGCCTAAAACATATTTCTAGTGTAAATCTTAACCATTGGTATATAGAGATTTGAACGCATTAAGGTCACTATTTAATTGACTAGCAAGGTAATTTCTGAATATCTACTAACGCATGAAGGTCACTATTTAATTGACAAGCAAGGTAATTTCTGAATATCTACTAACGCATTAAGGTCACTATTTAATTGACTAACAAAGTAGTTTCTGAATATCTACTAACGTATGAAGGTCACTATTTAATTGAAGAGCAAGGTAATTTCTGAATATCTACTAACGCATGAAGGTCACTATTTAATTGACTAGCAAGGTATTTTCTGAATATCTACTAACGCATGAAGGTCACTATTTAATTGACTAGCAAGGTAATTTCTGAATATCTACTAACGCATTAAGGTCACTATTTAATTGACTAGCAAGGTAATTTCTGAATATCTACTAACGCATGAAGGTCACTATTTGATTGACTAGCAAGGTAATTTCTGAATATCTACTAACGCATGAAGGTCACTATTTAATTGACTAGCAGGGTAATTTCTGAATATCTACTAACGCATGAAGGTCACTATTTAATTGACTAGCAAGGTAATTTCTGAATATCTACTAACGCATGAAGGTCACTATTTAATTGACTAGCAAGGTAATTTCTGAATATCTACTAACGCATGAAAGTCACTTTTTAATTGATTAGCAAGGTAATTTCTAATACTGGAGACTTTCAGGTTGAGATATCTCCTTAGAGTTAGATAAAGAGTACTCTTCACTTTCAACTTTAAAAATCTCTATAGTCGATACAGACGTTTTAAGATTATATGCTGTAATTCTTTAGTACTGCTTGTACATGTCAAAGCTGTATAACTTTCATTTTCTATTTTATGAGTAAGAAAATTTGTGTGACACCCATTACTAAGCAATTTCAACTATATTTAGAAATAAACAGCATATTGTTTAAAGATTTGGACACCACCATTCGAAAGATTTAAAACACATTAAAGAGAAAAACAATCTGTGAACAACATTTTTATTTCATTTCTTACAAGTTTAGAAGCAAACCAAGATGAGAGCTCACCAGTACTACATAACTGAAATGCTTATAGTTGTCATGTATGTCAAAAAATCCAACAAAAAATATATGTACATTGCGTCTCATGATACTTCAAAATCTCTACAAACTCTGTACAAATGTATCATTGGCTAGTGCAACTCTGCACCGTGAAATCTGATTATGACATGAATCACTTTATGCAGAAAGAGTACAATTCATACACTTTTTGACAGAAAGCAAGAACAAGACATGGAAAATCAAAGAAGCATGTTTGATTCACAAATGATATATAATTCGAAATGTACGCGTTAGCACACAGTGATTCACGTGTGATGAAGACTAGCTATGTGTTAACATGGAAAGACTAGCATGTAACTGCATCCGTGACTCATTTTTGCATGAAATGCAAGAATATTGATAAAACTGTATTCATACCCTAAGCGATATTCTTGAAGAAGTTTTTAAAACTTTTTCGCAAGTGCAATATATTTCATAAGTATTTCGTAAGATACTTGTGTTTACACTAAATCAGTTTTATCTACTTTTACTAATTCAAATTATTAATATTAGCTGCATAATTTGATCGTCTAGAGCATACATTTTGAGTAAATTATAGATTGTTCAAAAATCAAGTCAAAATAGTCATTTTTTTCTAACAAGAGCGTTATATCACAGCTGAATGTTTTTGCTCAACCTAAAAATTGGCATAAATAACATGTAAAATAACGAATTACTTAACTTTCACGTGATAAACTTTCAATTAAATATTTAGTCAAGTTAAAATAAAGTCTCCTTCTTTCAATATGTATTATTGGAGATATCAATATTATCTAATAAATTGCTACCTACTTCTGTGGATCTCAAATTTTTAATAAAAGCAAATTATGTTTGTGCAATGTAGGCTAAAAATCAGTTAATTCAAACTTAATAAACTCTTTTTATAAATCAAACTAATCTTACTGCTAAAATTCATTTTCAAGTGTATACAAGGTGTTCAATTTAAAAGTGAACGGCGCAATTAAGAATACATAGTTTTGTGCATATTTTGTTTGTAGCTGTTCTGTGATTACTCGTAACACTTTGATGAGCAGTTTGATAGAGCAGTTTGCCAGATGGTGAATTCTTCAGAACCAGTAGGTGTTTTCTTAGGAATAGTGCAGGTTTTGAACTTTTCATGTTGTATGTCTCATCTATAATTATTATTTTCCAAAACCTTTACTTAGGACGATGTCTCCATTTTAGTTTCTAAAGGAAAACGAAAGGTGTGAGATATTTGAAAGGTTGAAAAGTACATTTTATCAGACATGGAGCTCTGAAACACTTCGGTTTATTGAGTATCTTTTGTTCTCTGCGAACACGTCTTCTAGAAAGCCATTTCAAGATGACAATTATTCTCATCCTAGCTCTTTGAAACAAATGTAAGCATTAGAAACCTATCAATATAACATGTAAATATTCACTGTTTTATTGCAAGAGAAGACCAACCAGCGGCCGAGCGGTAAAGTCGCTGAACACTGGTAGTTCGTTCTGGATTTCAAATCCCAGCAAACGGGCTGGCTGCATGGATGTTTTCGTGGTTTTTCCCATGTGTAACGTATCTACGAGTCATTTTCCCTTAGAAAGTCCTCCACGAAGGCTTAAGCAGCTAACTCTTTCTGCGCTTTGCCATAATTAAATCAATCAAAACGTACTGCAGAAAGATGAACTTCGTTTTTAGGTATAGATGGGGGATTCTATTATGAAGATATCCGAGCACGGTTTAGCAACAAACTCATTTAAAAAGACTCTAGTCCGAGAGCTTTCCAAATGTTATCTCTGTAGACTATGTTTTTATTGCAACACTTAAAACAAATGACATATTTACATAAAAATACACACATATTGCAAAAATATGAAAATGAATATCACTCCCACCACCACCTTATGCAGCTTTTCTTTATCTATGCTTTGGGTGTCTGCATAGATAAAGAAAAGCTGCATAAGAGTAGAAAAATGCACTGAACTACAAGGATGATATTTGTAACATAATCCGTAGGCAAGATATGTATCATACATAGGCACTCTTTCTGTTCCTGTGAAGGGTCCACTTTTAAATTGAATTCCCTGTGTATATGTATTTAATGCAGCGAGTGGTAGCTTTTTTCAGAAAGGCTCTTGAATTACTTTTTACTTATTACCGATTACTTTGTTTCCTAGAATATGATTTTAGTATTCTCTTTAATAATCTAAGTTTAAAAAAACGACTAAAAGTATTTCACAGAACACGTTAGTAATTATCCGAAGCGAAGTAAAATATTATCATTGCTAGGCGCCACTCCCACTAACTAGACTACAGAATTTACAAATACAAATGTCTTAAAATTGGCACAAAACTTATAACAATAGTCTAAATGATTATCATAATAAATAGAGTAAATGAATCAAAGTACAAAGTAATACAAACATTAGAACAATTATAATTAAACAGACATCCTTCTTATGAGTTGTTCTAAATTCAAAATTCGGAAGCCTTGACCTTGGATGACGGGACGATTAAAAAATTCTTGCATTACTATCATATTAAAATTTAATACATAAAAATGAATAATAAAGCAGTAATAAATATTCAATTTCATAATAAAAATGTCAGGACTCTGAACTTAAAATAAAAATAAGTAACTTCTTTGGCATCGTAAATTTTTGCTATAGTTTCCTTTTCGTCTTTTGTTCTTAAAGACTTTATTTGTTGATCTTAAGTTTTGCTTCGTTGCAAACAATTATCGCCTTATTTTTTACAAAGCGAGACGAATATAAAATAATTTAATTAATTCTTTTAAAAAATTGCTTTTTTAGCTTATGAAGTAAATATAAATCTTGTATGCCGAATTGAAGCAATCTTCGGTTTATAAAAAACTTCTTTTACATTTATTACATCTAAAGGTATCTGATATGTTATTTTATTCGTCAAAAAAAAAAAAGAAACAGATAGAAAATATTAAAATTGCTAATTTGATTTTAAGTGCGTAATTTTCGTATTATATCTTCAAAGCAGTTTTACTATAAAGTCATTTCAGAAGAACCCAATTTGTGGTAGATTTTTTTTCCTAATTCCGATATTTATACATACAATTTCAAAATGATTTCACAGCGAAATATTTCTCGAAAACGGAATTTCGATTGCTCAAACTTCAATGAAATGTATTTTTAAATAAGTGAATGTTTTTGCCTGCCGAAAAGCACTACAAACTGAATTTACTTTTCTGGATTAATTGAATTTCTATAATGTAACTAGTCCAAATATCGATGAATCAAACTCCATTTTAATGAAGCTGATGTTATTTAGTTTCATTTTTTTTTCTGGAAAACCTGACATATCTCCAGCCCACAAGATCACGGCTCAGTTCGCTTTCATACAAAATTTACTTACTGAGTAATTTGTATCTCAGTATTCACTGTGTCATTTAATCATCGCCACAAGAAAATGTACTCTTTTCCTTGTATTTGCAAATGTATTTTCTAATTTACTTAAATAAATAGCATATTTTTAGTTAGAAGACGATAAAACTCAGCTCTTGATGTTCTGCGTTTTTACTCTTTATCTTAAAATGTAATTTGTGTTACATGTTCAGTTACATTACTGTTTTAACTGAATGTGTTTGTTGCTCAAGGAAGCACTGTTATTTTCAAATGCAAAAAGAAAAAAAAATATATTAACTGTCATAATAAGTAGACATTTGATTAAAATATTCGATTCTAATGTTTCTCAAATTTCATTATACGATATTATACGTAGATCGTCTAATGTTTCATTATGTCATCTAATGCATCCTTTAAAACCTAGTGATTTTATGTCGCTATTATTTTTAGAGTAACTATATAATTAAATGTTTTGGATTCTTGTTTATAATTACTTTTCCTTACATTAAAATAATTTATCGTAATATGTACACAAATTTTATATGCGTACGTAAAACGTACGTAAAACCTTAGAAATTATTTTACCATAAATTGACTAAAGTCTAACCCAAATTTTCGATTACTTGAATTTTTTTCTCATATAAATTTCGACTTCTCAGTTTACCATTAATTTTAAACTTCAGTTCAACTACAGTTTGTTATAGAACTATAATGCCAATTTATGAAGCGAATTAAAGAAGTAGACGTTCAAGCTATGACAGGTTTAGTCATCTGACATCATTTTGCAAAAATATAATATAATTTTAATTAGTAAATATACGTAATTTAGTTTCTTCCTTCCCTCTATGAAGAAAGTTATAATTAATACGTTTTCCTATTAAAACCCTTTAGGAGTTGTCATGTTATTATCAAAATTTGCTGTCACAAAAGGGAACAGAATTTTATGAATAAAATCACTTAAATACTATATAAAAAAGAATCATATATATGTACGCGAGTGTATATGCAAATGTATTTGTATTATATATATATATATATATATGTGTGTGTATCTCTCTCTCTCTCTATATATATATATAAAGAGAGTGAGAGAGAAAGGCCTACTTATCATATTAATATATATAAATATGATAATTCAGCTATAAAAGTAGATGTTTTTCATGGATGGTGTCTTCCTGTAGGGCAAATGCAAAAATTTGGAGTTCGTGTGTTTTTATTTAATTGATCACATGACCAAAATTGTCATAGTCTTGAAGTCTATCTTATTTTGTTCTTCATTTAAGTAGGAGCTATAAGTCTATAAAAATTGCTAATGTACTTCAATATAAAGTATTTCTATTTTCTTCTTCTGCTTCACTCTCAAAATTTTGATAAAATATTTGCTTGTATGATTTATTTATTTGTTGAAAACATGAATATTCCCCATACTTAACATCTCTTCAATGGATACTGTAAAAGAATACCCATTAGCTAGATTTGTGAACTAAAAAACATTAAAATTATTGAACAACTTCTTAAATATATAATAAAAGCGTAATAATATTATAAGGTACACTTATCTAATTTTAAAATTATTTTTACGCAATTTTAAAATTGTCAAATTATACTGCAGTAATTATTCTGTAACGCTGTACATTGCCTTTACATGTAAAATTCAACTCATATGTAGAATAAGTAAATATATTTTGAAACGTGCAAAAGTGAAAGTAAGTATTATATTTTTTTTATATTAACAGAACACCAGGCTGAAAGAAAAATTTAATTGAATTACTAGAAAATCGTAAAATCAGCCTTCTGCAAGAGGCTATATTCGAGCAAATTTATGTTCTCTCCATATTTTTTTATTAAAAGCATTGAATAATCAAAATTTACTGCAAGTCTAATCAATCAAATCTAAACCTCAGAAATATTTTTCAAACAATATTGTTTACTTTCACATAAATTAACATTTACTAATTTTTGGATAAAATTTGGATCGAAATGAGACTTAAAATTATATTCTACAATAACTTAATTAAAAATCCACTGACCTAACAACTAAAAAATTTGTTAACAGTTCAAAAAAACAATTGCACAGATTTAATAAAATTGTGTAGCTAAATATTGCATTCTACATGAAAATGAAAGTTATATTCAAATAACAATGCGATTTCTTGGGCAAATAAAAATATTTCTTGCGATAGAAAGCATTTAATTATGATTGTTAACTTGGTAACAAAGTGTTTTCCCAGGTGAAAGGTAAACATGCGCAAATTCACACAGTTTAAGATAGAAAGCAAGGAAGAGGTTGAAGTGTAACGAGGTGAAGTATTGAACTGCATTGCAGAGTCAGCAAGGAACCCAATCCTTCGATGGAAACTAATAATTTCCAAATATATGTTTTTGCTCTGATACGTATATGTTTTAAAAATGATAATACATCTAACATTGCCTGAGATACCAATCGCTGTCGGAATTTTTACATCTCACTCAGTACTTCAATTGCACCATTTTAAATGTATGTTTTGAGAAGCATCATTCAAATTACAATCTTTTTTCAAACAAAAATTAATTCTACATATCATACTACTGTACAGATTGCACTGATGTCGATTCTTGGTTTGAAACTTCACCTGGCCGAGGCGTGCAATAAAATTTTTTATGTGCAAGGAAATTAGAAAGGTAATTGAACGATATGTCACATGATTTGCAGTACTTTGGTCCCGTTTTGAATGCCCCGGTGGGGCACTGCCCATCTTCTGGTAGAGGTCGTTTGATACCTTTAGACGTACTTCCACCACCAGATGGAGGTGGAGGAGATACTGCCTCTGTTTTCAACATCAGCGGTTTATCTTCGAGTCGTAAGTGCTGTTCTGTCTTATTAACAATACCATTTATCATTGGTTTGACGTCCATACTCGAAGAACTATTGCTGTGATCCCCGGCTGACAGCAGACTTTCTTGAGGAGTGCCACGACTGGGGTGTTCTAGAGGTTCATTAGGTTTAATTGAATTATCAACACTAGGTCGACTATTAACAATGTTAGACATTGTCTGTGTCGATATTAAGTCTTTGTGAACAAGTTTCACATGCCGAACCACATTTCCCTTGTAAGAAGAAGAGTACCCGCATATCTGACACCAGTGGGTTGTGTCACCGGTGGCAACTGGGTCATCTGGAACTGCTTTTATAGCAACAATATCAGAAGGTACCACATTTGGAGAAGGACCCGATATAGGGCTCACGGCCATTGCTATTTCACCGTGGGGAGGCTCCGTACTGATGACGGACTTAATTCTCTCGGAATTCACCCGTACACCTGATGATTTCCTGCTGGCACAGCCAATTTCGGCCCCGCCTTCATCCATACAAAGTATGTAAGCTTCTTCAGGGGTGGAGCTATTTTTATCAAGGTGAATCCGAATATGAGTCCTCATGCCGCGTAAGGTATGACCCTTGTACCCGCACAATGAACATTTAAAAGATTTTATTCCCGTATGTGTAACAAGATGTCTCTGGGCGGCGCTCAGCGTCGGACAGTAGACATCACAGTAGGGGCATTTTCTTTGAACAACGCACGGATGTTGCTTCAGCAAATCTTCCGTTGGATAAGCGTTTTTGCATTTACTGCATTTGAATTCATGCGTATTGCGAGGGAAAGAGGGCACTAACGCTAGGGTTTGAGTTGAATTCATATCCCGCTTCGGGCAATAATACAGCTGGTGCGCTCTCAAATTGTCGATGGAAGTATATTTAATACCACATGCTACGCAATAATATTGAAATACAGGTGGCGCATGAGATGGATTGGAAGATGTTTCACTCGGATCATTGCTTTCCGGAGCTGGAGGTGTTCTTAAATTGTTGAGGCGAGGGGATGATATGGGGCTCTTCTGAGATGATCGAGTAGCTGAAATTGAAAAATTACTTTTATTAGAATAGAAATGTAGTTATGCAACAAATATTACTTGCTTATACTATGAAAAATATTTATAAAAATATTTCATCAGTGTTAGATTAATGTTAAACTCAAGAAAACTAGCTGTAAGTCTCTTTGTGTGTATATTAAAGAGGCCGTAAAACAGCCGATTCAATTCTATTTATTTATAATCGATTCAATTTCGGCCCCGCCTTCATAATAATAATGCGAATTATTCGATTATAAATAAATCGAACAGTCCTTGATTTATTTATAACTAAACAAACCGCTGCTTGGAATAGCAGATTTAATATATTCCAGCGGGTGTAATTCATTAATTGCATTTAGTGGTTGATGAATCTCTTAACCTGTGTTACGCTGATTATTAATTTGCTCTTAAGAAAATCTAAGCATGCATCAGTTTGCTTGTTATGCATGTAAATATGAAGACTGTTTACAGGTCAGTTACACGTCCGCATTTTTCATTTGATATTTATTAAATATTAACGGAATACCCGCTAATTTTATAACGCATTCCACTTCTGCATTTCTTGGCCATTTCTTTAACCAGTTCACATACACCGTGTAAATAATCACAAAATGTTTACATCAGTGATAGAGATATGTACAAAGAATGATATTCAAAGGCATTCGAAGGTAAATTTCCTTTCCGATAGCTTAAACCTCTTGAATCTACAGCCTAACGGTTGTGTTAAAAATTTATATAACTATTTCTTTTAGATGTAGCATTAACAAAGGAAGAAAAAACGCAAGAGGGGAAACAGACAGTGAACTCTTTTCGACAAACTAAATTGTGAAAAAAAATATATGTTTTAGAAAAATATCACAAAAACTTACGCTTATCAGTAAGACAAATAAATTTTTAAAATAATATAAATTCCTCTATTCCATCCTTATAGTTAATATATGTTATTAAGGGTACTGAAGCGAGTTCAAAAATAAACCTAGGCACGTTTTGCATTTAAACATTACATATACATATATAATTTAAGATCAAATCTGCTATTCAAACATGAAATAGACATTTTTTTTTCTTATTTTTGAAATGTTACTACATTCAGTTCTGTATAAATTCCCCTATAGTTCATGTTTAATGTATATTGTCAAGCGTTCTGAAATATGTTCAAGAAGAAACCAAGACCCTTTCTGGGGTTAAGCATTATATATACATATATTATTCAAGATCGAATCTGCTATCCAAATGTGAAAGATGTTTCTTACTTTTGAAGTGCTAGTGCATTTAATTCTGTATTAATTCACCTATTTCATCTTTATAGTTAAAGTGTGTTGTCAAGCGTTCTGAAATGAGTTCAAAAATATATCGAGACTCTTTCTACGTTTAAGCATTACATATACATATATCATTCAAGATCGAATCTGCTATCCAAACGTGAAATAGACAATTTTTCTTACTTTTGAAGTGCTACTGCATTTAATTCTTTATTAATTCAGCTATTTGATCTTTATAGTTAAGGTATGTTGTCAAGCTTACTGAAATGAGTTCAAAAATAAATCAAGACCCTTTTTGCAATTAAACGTGACATACACGTATAACATGCAAGACTGATGCTTCTGTCCAAATGTGCTACATTTGCTTCTGTCCAAATGTGCTCGCTACATTTGGACAGAAGCTTTTGAAGCGCTATTGAAATCTATTATGTGGTTAGTCAGCATATTATCTTGGTCGAGACACAAGTAATAACGCTTATATGTAAACGGAATCTAACTCCTTAATACGAAAATCTGTTATTATTTCATTTGAAAGAATAAATATTTGCTAGTCAGTTATACTACTCAGTGATTATGAACATGTAATATAATTGTAAATATTTGTATGTACTAAAAATAATTTGCGTTAAAATCTTCGAAAAGGACCTCTCTAACTCGTCCACCAGGCATATGTCTGAGTCATAAAGTAGTTTTCCATCTATTACATTATTATAGTACTAATTTATATTTTTGCTAGTAGATCCTAACTTCACCAACAGAAAAAAGAGCAACTAATGTTCCCAAAAATGCTTGAACAGTAATGATATATATAATAGTTGTCATTTTTTAATCTCTTCTGCATTACATTATTCATTCAATTTTTGAGTACATCCTGAACTCATTTTTCCTGTTATCTATTTCCATGCAGATAATCCCTGAAGAATAATAACAAACTATATTATTACCAAATTTATCGATGCCTCTGGGATACAGATGGAAGTTAGTATTTATGATGAAATATGCAACCATTTACCTAAGTGTTAACATTTCTAAGTTTTAATGGTTGCTTTCTAGATATTGATAAAAATGGTGTTCAAAGGGAGTGATATTATAAGCAAATGAAAAATTCTAAAATAAAGGTGGGAGAAATCCTTAGAAATTATAATAGTTTATTTATTTTAGTTGGATAAGAAGCAGAAAATTTACTATGCCCCTCGAAATAATTTACAAATGAACCATAATTTGTAAACATAGAACTCTTTAACATTCGCTAAACATAACGTTCCAACAACATTATGTCAACTAGAAGCCAGAAGATGTCATTTCGAAAACGCAATTGATAAAAACCTTCTATAATTCTTCACGTTTCACGAATTTTCATTTCTTATGATTTTTTTATAAAATGAGGCATTAAACTATTTTCAGAAACAATACTCCAATCTGCTGCACGATACGCGTAGATTGATTTAACCCTTTGACTACTAACGTGATATGTATATTCAACTAAAAGTTTAAAAATTACTCCTGTGTTAAAAAGTATTTAGTATCAATTTTATGAAAGTGGGGGATCATCTTCAAATAATTGAAAAATCAAGACGCCGCTATGCTCGTTGTACACAAATGAACGTAGAGAAAGGAACAAGTATGAGTTGCCAAGTGTATAATGTTGGGTTATGCAAAGAAAATGCTTTACCCTGTCCCATAGGATGTTAATCTATTTCATACAGTAAAGATTTCCAGAACAATAGGTGAGCTTTGAGTAAGTCAATCGCTACGCTTGGGACATTTAACTACGGCTGGGACATATGTGTCCCAACCTTTGGCTTGAAAACCTTTTGTCCAAAAAATCCTAAATGCTAAATTTATCCTATTTATGACACATTTTGTTCACTTAGATAGAAAACGGGATAATTGTTTTTTTTTTTTTTTTAAATTCGTAGTCAAGCGATTCAAGAGTTTCAGACGATGTCAAAATTTCAATTTAGACATGTTTCTACTTTTGAAATGCTACTGCATTCAGTTCTGCATTAATTGAATGCAATAGCACTTCACAATATCCTTCTAAAAATTCTTTGTAAGAGATCGTCGAGATTGCATATTATTTTTACTGAATGTAAATGGGGATTTCCTGATCATCTTCTGCTCAAAATCGCTTTGATTTATCCATAATAAACTTCTTTATTTCTTTATCAGTAACGCTTACAGATGAAACCTTTGCCATTTCAGAGTTTTGCAGATGTCACTTGTTGAGACAAAGTTGTCATCCTAAATTAATATCTAATATCAACATTCAAAAAATAATTCCTGCTGTCTGCATACATGTCTGCTTAGAATGCGATTTGGAGAGTATAAAAAAAACGCAATCATTGAAAGCTAACATTCAAAAATGGATCATGCACATTAAATAAAATTCTCATGTGACCACCAAATAATTTCTTTGAAGATCTATTAAGTTTCACACATTTTTTGCTGCACTTCATTTAACCTTATTTCCTCGAATTATTCTATTTTGAATTACCGATCCCTCAAGTTGAAGATGGTATCAAAAATTGAAAATATTAGGGAAATCAAATATATCGGTCAGTTTATGTCATACGGGAGTCAAACTTCTTATAATTTTTTTCCATAACGAGAATAAAACTTTCCCAAATATAAGGTTAGAAAAAGGCAGACAGTATTAAAAGATAGATTTTATTATTTGTCCATAATTAATTGTTTTTAAAATTCGAGATACGAATATTTTCGTCATTTAAAAATACTTCTGTAATTCGAGGTATATAACTACGACCAATGATTTCGAAAATAAAAGCAGGATAAATATTTTTAAGCCGGTTAAAGGGGTTAGTATATATACTTCCACTTGCAATAAAGAGAGAAGTGCACAACTAGATGTCATAGCAGACCCGTACACAAAATTAACACTCCCATATACAAAATCAACAGTTTTAATAGAGGGTGAAATGGAAAAGAGTGAATCACTGCAAAGCCATTTAAATAATGATAATGAACGAATGTTTAGATTTTATTTATTGATAAAAAAGCAATTAGCTATTTGCAAGCAGTACAATTTTCAATGGTCTTAATCTATAAGTACATTATAAATAGCTGTTTACAGATGAAGTTTATTGCCTTTAACCTATTAAAAATAAATGTAAATAAAAGTTTATCATTTTTGTGGATCCTAGAAACTATTCTTGGAAACATTTTCATGTCTAACAACGCATAAAATTAGGTCTCGAGACCGCGATTATTAAATTTCATTACTGGAAAATGATAAAACAGTTTCGCCTAGTAGCGAAAATGTAGATAATTTATTCGCTATATTTATATAAATGAAATAATTCAAGAACCATATCAATTTAGATAAAAAAAAGTATCAGGAAAGAAATTATTTTTTTTTTAATTTTTCCAATGGGGGAATATTCCTATAACGGCATTGGCCCATCCTAAGGCCACAGGTGGTGACCATTTTATTATGGAGCCAATTAATAGGCGGCCACCGTTACCTCATATGAAGCGACAGACAATTTTACATCCATGCCTTCTCCAGGATTCGAACCCGGGCCCTTTGGTATAGCAGTCAAGCTCCCCTAACCATTATACCATCTGGGCGGTAACTGAGTCATGTAATGCCTGATTCACCAAAAATGACAAGATACATATATATTCCAAACATCCTAAAATAAAAAATTGGGTGGAAATTTAACTGTACATCAAGGCAAAAGGGAGATTTATGTGATCGCACTTAGTGTTGTTGGTTCATATATTTCTATTGCTCACAGTATAAAAAGTATGCGTGAAATGCCCAGCTTCAATAATAAACAAAAAGAGAGCGAAACAGTTAAAGCAGGTGAAATGGAAAGGAAATAATCACTCAAAGTAGGATCAAGAAGATGGACATTCCATATATTCTATAGCCTCTTATTTATTCATTTATTTATTTAGTGTGTCTTAGGTGCCCCGAGATACTAGCACAGATAATATTTTTTTTTATTCCGTAATTAGGTAAAGAGCTATGTTCTGTATAAATGACAAAAAAGAGAGGCAGAAAAGGTTTCCTAGGAGTATTATGTCTTTGTTATTGTAAAGAACTGAACCATTTTTATTAAAGAAAATTACTAATCCCTTACATCCAAAATTTAAAAGAATTTTGAAAAATATATATTTAAAACCGAATTCTAATTTAATTTAATTGCGTTATTAAGGCATTTCCTAATTCACGTGAAATTTCATACCAGTCTTCCCATCACTGTGTATTTAAACTTTGCTTCTTTTATCTCAACTTTTTATGTCTAAGAAGCGCAGTTATCACCACCAAAGAAATGAATCAAATATTCAAAAAGGATCGCATTTGGTGTTTAATAATGAATGGATTCTTTCAAATCAAATTATATCCAAATGATATCGCATGTTAATTTATAAAATTGCTAAACCGTGGCCATTTGGAGTTCAATTATAATATATTTATGCATTAATATTCCAGAAATAAGAATATTTGAAAAGAAATAAGAATATTTAAGAAAGTATCCTGCGTTAATGAACTGAGAGTTGATTCTTTTAATTCTTCATCTGTGGAATTAATTCACATAAAACAGGTAAAAACAAAATTTTACCTGTTTCTTCCCGATCCATTGAGTCACTTTCGTCATTTTTCACTCTCTCAGGAGACCCACCGTCCCGCTTTACACCTCGTGCAGCGCAGTATTGATTTTTGTGAACCAAATAATTTTCATGTTTGTAAAATACTATATTGCATTCTTTGCATTTGCTGGTTCCCTGCTTAACTAGCATTTGAGGCGGTGCTAATACAGGAGGCAACGTGGGCGCAGCGGGATCTAAACCTTGCAGTTGAGCTCTACTGATGATGTTCAAATCCATAGCCGGATTGATGAGAGGTAATATTGGCAATGATGGTGCAGGAGTCATTGAGACACTGTTTTCTTCACTGGAGGATGAGGCTGATGAAGAAGTCGATGTGAAGGCTGAACTGGGTACCACTAAATAAAATTATAAAATTGTTTTATTGCATTTTGAATTTCCTATTGAAAATAATTGCATTCTGTTAATTAATTTGCCATATATCATAAAGCTTTAAATTAAATAAATTTTATGCATTCTTTATAACATATCAGATTATGCTCTTAGTAGTATCGAACATGATAATTAGTTATGATAATAATTAGTTATTAGTTAACTGTGGAAGATATATTGTAACGAATAACGTACACAAATCTAATTTAAAATGAATATAATCTGAAACGTTTGGATTCTAATACATCGAAGACTTCATCATTAAATTTTTAAAAGATTTAAATGATGAAATTAAAATATTTAAAAATAGGAAAATCAGAAAACTTTACAAAGTTGCAATCTGATCTTCGTACGCAGATTTTAATATAACACATGAAACAATTTTAAGCTACTCAGCTATGATATATGAGTTTAAGGATTATTCTCCCAGGGGTACAAAACTCAAAATGTCGTATTTAAAACGGAGTTGTTGAAAATGGCAGATAATAAAAAGCAGATAAAAATTAAGATAATTATAAGACGTAAGATACGTAAGATAATTTAGCAAACATTTCTCGTGAATTCATAAAGTCGTCAATGAGTTGAAAACGTTTTGTGGAGGTGCGGATAATCAGAAAGTGCCAATGCAGGTATAACAATTATCTGAGTTTGTTTTTTAATTTGGAATTTTGCCTAAATTATTTTATTTTTCAACATATATGTTTGTTATTTAATATTTATTACATTATAAATTTGTATATCTTTATAAGGTTTTGATAATTTTAAGCATGTAATATAAAATAGGTGTTGAAAACTACTTGTGGTGTCACTGATGCTAAGATCTGAGGCAATAATATGTAATGTAAAACAATTACTATAATTGCCAGTTTTTTTCCCACTCTCATTGTTTGTTTTCCAACAATTGTTTGTTTGTTTTTTTTTTCTAACATATCTAATCTATTACTATTTTTTTACCACTCTCATTGTTTGTTTCCAACTTTCTGGCTGGAATAAGGGTTTATTGCACAGTGTGTGATCTATTACTATATAAGTACAGCAAAGAGATTTGTGCCTTTATTTATTAAAGCAAAGACTTGATTATTTAAGATACACCTGCATGTATATTTCACTGAGTCTCTTCAACACGAGGTTTTCAATAAATATTCCCTCTAGTGGCAATATATTTTATTTTGCGGGACTCCCAAATCTGCTTACGAAAAACAAAAATTTCAACTTCAATGAGAGAGTTTTACCAACGTGACCCTAAATTGATCGTAGCCAGAGAAAGTTGACTTATTAAGAAGTTAACGATGCACTATGTATCTGATGTCCAACGTTATGGTTGGTCAAAAAGAGAATATCGAATATTGAAATGCCAATCTATTGTAGACTATATGAAAGTTGTAATCTATTGTAGACTATATGAAAGTTGTAATCTATTGTAGACTTTATGAAAGTAAAAATTTCAAATACATATGATCATCTAATTTTAATTTAACAAGTCAAAATAAATAAAGGAGTAAAAAAATGAAAGAATAAAGACTTTATTTAAGAACTTATAAAATTTAGAAATTTTCTTTGCAATCACTGACTGTAACTAAACTTTAGACAGACTAGCAGTGAATTATCACTAAGTCTAAAATAGCAACTGAAACTTGAAAAGGGTGCACAAGACCCTTTATTTCAAATTCAATAAGAACAGAAGACACACTTGGCACTTACAACTCCGCCAACCACTTGTGGAAAAATAACTTAAAGTATATAAGTTCAAATGCAAAATTTTAATTCAAACTAGCTAGTAGCTGAAGGCTACACAAATCATTTGACTCGAAATTGGCTCAAACTTTAACCGGCATGGATATTCAATTATCGATAATTATAATACAAGGCCGAAGACTGCAAATCGTATCTGTTCTAGCAACCCAGTAACATGGCCTCGACAGGTACTAGAACACGCTCTGCCTTGCAATCTAGAAACCTCACCTTAGATGCACGCGATAGGGTGGGAAAATGGAAGGCAGAAGTGACAGTAAAGATCCAAAACGTAAACTAATTGGTTAAACAACATAAAGAGACCTTACAAGCGAAATAACCTGGTATTTATCGATTCACTTACATGGTAATGGCTATCTTAGCAAATATCTTTAGCGTGCTTAAATCTGGGCAATGTTAACTGGCGTTATATGTCTTATAATGTAAGTAATTATCACAGATATATTAGTAACTTTTGAAAATTACCTGAATCTGTTGCTACCTTTCCAGAACTAGGTTTCGCATCTGCATCCCGTTTCCTAAAGCTCAAATCCAGTGGTTTCTCGGTGTCCTCTTTACTTCTTTCTTTCGGACTTTTAGGTGGTTCTAACTTCGGCTCTTTATCCTTGGGAGTCTTTGGCAATTTTGCGTCATCTTTGGTCCCATCCTCTGCCGCACTTGGGGACGGGACCGTGTTCAAATCTGTAGCAGAACCGGGCATTACTGTGTAAGTTGGAATCACATTTGGACCTTGGGCCTCGGAATTCGCATCAGGGGAAGATGATGGATTTGGTATGATAATGTTTCCGGCTGGTATCAAACCAGCTGCTGGAGACAGTCCACCACCCGCAACGTAGGAGCATGGTACTAGAATGAGAGGGCTTGTAGATATGGCAGCGTACAACGGTTGATTCAAAACCATACTGTTATAACCCTTCGCATTTGTGTCAGACTGACCGGATGCATTTTCTGGTGATCTTGGCTGGGAGGAATGAGACGAGGATGTCAACTGTTGTTGATTTTGTTGCGGTTGAACACTTACATTAGGTGATGGGGATGAAGCAATGGATTTGTGAACATGGCGTGTATTGCAATAATACTCTTTGTGTACCTGAAATGCATATCATTCACTTTAGAGAAAAGTATTCATTTCCTATAAAAATAAGTTATGAAAACTATTAAATTAACAACAGTTAAAATTTCAAACCTCTCGAATTTTTCATATTAGAATAATAATAATGAAAAAGATTTTTAAAAGTAGCTTTTATTGATATAAAAAGTTGTTTATTAAAGCAAAACATGAAATCTGCATTTAATCATAAAAATTTCAAATTGCAGATTTTAAAATTAATAACACTAAATAAGGAATACTGAATCATCTCTAGAAATTTATAAGAATTGCACTCAGTTCACTAAATCTGATGACTGACGAAATCGCGCTTTTTTAATATTTTAATGAAATTTTCTATTAAATATGAATAAAACTAATTTTTCCATGAAGCTGAGTTAAAATATATGACAATGCGTTTGCTTCCGTCTTAATGAGATTTGTAGATCTAAGCTTTGCAAATTCTGAAATACAATATACAAGTAGAATCAAAAACATGGCTAGAGTTTGGTCTTATAGAGTGACTTCAAAGTAAATGAAATGGTGTGTGGGAAATCAAGGTAAGGTAAATGAGACGATGCCAATGGAAAATCAAGTTCTAAAACTGAAGAATGAAATGACAGTACCAACAAGACTCGCATTGGTGCCTCAAAGATTCTTAGCCGTTTCAAACTCTTTACGGCCCTCACTGGTGTTGCCGTATTAATGTTACTGCGAGATTTTTCACATGGTTTTCTTCCCCGGGGAATTACCATGATAATCAGTCTTCCCTCCACCAAGTCGAAAGCAATGCTATGTTAAAGTCATGGCTTTCCATTCTCGGCATGCAGTTGTTTCCACTGCAGCTGTAATTTGCTGTTGCCTGTACATCAAATTTTTATTAATGATAAAATTTTGGTGCGCGATTTTTACTTACTTTACCTTGAACACGTTTACTGTAGCATTTTCTACTATAACGTATAGTAACATATTAAACATACTTAAAATCTGTACTTAAAATCTTTACGTGGTGGTTTTGAGCCACATTGTAGAGATATACATATTTAGGAAGGATATTTAGAATGAAAAAGTAACTCGGCACGTCAGAAATTTCATTCATCAGAAGCTTAATCTATAATGTGTGTTTCTTAATAAAAATATACCCAAAATGAATAAGCAAACTGCTCCAGCATCCAAATTTTCAGAAACAAATAGGGTACATATAACAACTCGCACTTTTTTTTTTTTTTTTTGGTCTTTCTAATTTTAAATTAAATAAGCAATGTTGTTACTTTTCAGTCATTAAAATTATTTATAAATATATTTTCTTAATTTGGACTTCCGTTTCCTGCAGTGATGTTAAGAGATTGAAAGAAGAAAAGTATAAAAATTTTAGAGAATTTTCAGCAGCTTCCTTTACACCAAAAACACAACTCCATTTAAGATTTGAAGAAAAGGATCCTTGAAGGAATTTGATCTTAGTTGTAAAGCTAAATTTTACAGCTTAGCAGCAGAAGGCAAAACTTTGACATCGTCTTTAATTAAGAAATGCTTAAGGAACTTCCCCCCTTTTGTCCATTTCTTTCCTACTCCTTGAATGACGTAGAGACAATGGGCCTACACTTCGTTTATTCTCCCATCTACTCTCTGAATACTTCAGCTGATGGCTTTTGATCTTATGCCCTTTTCGCGCAATCTCAGATGAAAGAATTAAAGTATTATCCCTCTTACTCTGTAAACATACCAAATTCTAGTTTCTAGAATCAAAATTTAGAATCTAATACGCATAAACAGGTACAGTAACTTGCTTTGATTAAACACATACAAACTTGCGTTGTTGCACATTTTACAAAATATTTTACTTATCTTATTTTCAGTTTTGTTAAGAAATTTGCACTTCCGTTTTTACTTTAATGAATACGACGACTTATCTTTATACCGTAATTTTATTTCCTTACTTTTAATTGTCTTTTAAATTAATTGAATTTTTATGTTTTAGTTTAAAAGGTTATGCCAAAATTTATTTTTAAATCTACTATTATCATTTCTTATTGTGGTGTAGCAGCCACTTTTTCTTACTTTCCAGTTTAACTTCTTAACTAATTTTATTTCTTCCTTTACCTAATTTTACTTCCTCCCTTTTAAAATTATGATTCTTTCGGTAACTTATTAGAAACATGTCGAGTTAAAATTATGTTGTCGACACAACGTCAGAAGGAATTGGGTTTCAATCTAAATAGAATAATCTCGGTTCTCTCTTTGTTAAAAAATGTTTGCAAACATAAAAATGAACTAACAACGAGAGCTCAAGTGTTTTGTCGCTGTTATAACTAATCTCACTTGTCTCATCTAATCAGAACAAGCGAATGCAATTTAACATGGCAAAGTGTACTAGACTGCTTCTGTCGTTGGCAAAAGCTTTGGAAGCCATTTAGGGGGCAGTACGATTTTGCCCAGTTCCACCCCATTCTGTAGGGAGAATATCCTAGAGAACTATCCGAAGGTCTCCCATGCCTACCACCAAACCACACGAGATGACTTTCGGTTCGCGATATACTTAAAATGCCCTATGCTGCAAAGACGCTGCACATTAAAACATCCATGCCTTCTCCGGGCCCATCTAGTACGGTACTGAGTGTTACTAACCACTATCCATTGGGTGGCAGGGAAGCTCCTATTTACATAACAACTTATACACGTGTAATGCTATTGTTACGTAAAATTAAGTCCTATTCAAAAGCACTTAACACAGTAGTAAAACATTAAATAATAAAAACAGCAACGTAAATAAGTTGTTCTCCTTTAAAAATCAACACAAAATTTCGTAAATTATACAATAGTTTATTTCTTTGAATGGCTGCATGTAAGTTTTATAACAAATCCGCTTAATAATATCAAAGTATTCATTAAATATTTAGAAGCATTTTCAAAATTATCTAATATTTCTTTCGACTTTTCACATAATTCTTTCCACTACTTTACTTCAATTCTACATTCTTAACATTAATCTAACATTTTTCATAATTTCATTGAAAAACAGACAAAAAGACGAACTTTTCTCAATGATCTGTTAAATTAACGTTCGAAGTTCATGCAAATTGAAATGAAATATAATTAAACAATTCATTAAACTTTACTGGCAAGTAACAATCAATAATGCATAATTCATCAGAAAGCATTGTGACAAAGTTTTGTGCTTTAGATTGATCGATACATGCTAACAAAATCTAGTAAAATGCTACAATATAATGTATTGTATTAAGCGCTTTTTGCCCATTTCAAAGGTCATGTTTTAAAACTTTAGATCTTATTATATTCTCAACCATTTCACAATTTGCCATACATTAACTTCTTAACCTAAGACTGCTCTTACCTGATAGTTCTTGTATGAGGCGAACTGTATATCACAATTTGCGCAATAGCGTGCCATGGGAGGTGTAGCCACGGGTATTTCGCAGTGTCCATCTACGCTGGGAGATGTCCCGTGCATTCGCACATGCCTGGTGAGACTAGCTTTCTTATCTGAAGAATAACTGCAATACGGACATTTAAAAAGTCTTGACGACTTGGAAGACCCCGAATTAGAATCGTTGAAAGAGATGGTCCTCCTCCTCTTTCCAAAGACCACCGAGTCTTCATTTTGTGAAGCTTCTGGCTGGGATGCCTTAGCACTGGTTATGTCTTTAGAAACTTGGCTGTCCCCATCTTCGGAAACAGTAGGACTTCCAACAAGTGTCGAATCTATTAATGATAGCATAATTGATAGTTTTAAAGTAAAACAAGTTCGTAAGCTATTTGTGTGTCATAATACATCAGAATAAGCCAATAATAAAAATAAGTAATAAACTGTTAAATTCAACAACGGGAGAAAATACAAAAGTTCGAAAGTCTGGAAATAAATTAACATATTGGCTGCACTGCTGCTCAAGACCCACGAGCGGCCAAGCGGTAAAATCGCTGACCACTGGTAGTTCGACCTAGGTTCGATTTCAGCCGAATTAGCTGGCTGCATGGACGTTTCCGTGGTTTTCCCCATCTGCAACGTGTATATGAGACAATATCCTTTAGAAAGTACCCCACGAAAGCATCCCTCTTGTTAAGCAGATAGCCCTAGAGTGCTTTGCCATAGTCAAATAACAGTTAAACTGTTACACTTTACGAATCGCACTCACTTTACGTATTGTTAAGAAAATGACTGAAGTTTGAAATTATACTTCAGAAAGAGATTGATGAAATTTCTTAATAAGTTAATTTGCTTATATCGCATGTTTGAGTCTCTTAAAATATTCAGTTCTTAAATGTCACAAACTTTAATTTTTTTACTTTCGGATTAAGAGATGAGAAGGCTATAAGCATTACTTATTCTAAAAAATTAGTATTAATCGATAATGTATGGCACTCAACAAGTTTCAAGAAAGGGTAGCTTAAGGTGACATAAGTGATTTGTTAATTAAGTTATCTTGCCTGAGGGCAGAAATTAACACTTTAAAATCTCTTTTCTCAACATTCTTTAAAACCAAATTATAACCCAAAGTTTTCCTTGAAAACTTTGGGTTTATCAGGAACGAAAGTGAAGATTTAATTAACTTGGACACTTTTTTGCTTTCGAGCGTAGCGCAATGTTAATGTCTTAAATTCTTAAGTAATTGTACCAGTGCAACTGATAAATTCACGATCTAGTGTGCTTAGAACCCGCAACAAGCAAATGATTAAGAAACTGAATCTTTTAATAATATACACTAGATCTGACGATAAAATATTGTCTTCATAAAGTTTGTAAACTAAATTAAAATTCCTTTTCTTTTCACTCTGCCTTGCTTACATTGCTTCTGTATGCATCGAGGTTTTGGAATAATACGCGGGCATTGCGTAGGCGTGTGTGTCAAACAACTGTTGTCAAACTGACGTCCGCGAGCAGCATGCGGAACAATTAGCAACTTTCTGCGGCCATCGAAAGGATTTCAGTTACGCTTTTCTTGCAAATACGGTGTTGCAAAGATTTTAAAATTTTGTTATTTGATATACGAGTTTACATTATTTTATTTCCACTAAAACTTATCAAAAACTCAATAAATAGTGCTAATTTATTTAAAAGTGACAGAAATCTTATTCAAAGAACTGAAGATACACATTTTTAGACCAAAGGGGCAATTTGCGCAGAAGGACTGTTAGTTTTGTTTTGGCATTTTCCGCCGATTCACTACAAGCGTTGTTTCACTTTTAAAAGTGTTGCCAGCGAATATAATCGCTCTGTATTATATTTAAAGAAATTAAATAATCCAGAATATGCATAAATGTGTGTATGTTTCTCGTATTGTGATAAAACAGTGATAACCAGAGTCATCCAATTTTGAATGATGTAATCCTGCTGCGAATATGAGTATGTGAAAGCCCAAATTTGAAATTTGGAATTTGTTTTATTATCGATTTCATATTTTGTAAAACTTTAACGAATTTTTGATTAACAAATTCAAGGCTTTCAAAGCGAGCAATGGCAGCGTTGTATTAAAAAAAATTATCTCCAGCACGGGAGACTGTATCGGAAATCCTAAAGGATACGCTCATTTCAAAATTATTTTGGACTATTGCTGTTGAACTGAATTTTATGGTTTAAGTGCGAAGAACTTGATATTTAATAAATAAAGGTAAAACACAAAAAGTTTAAAAAACACCTCTCGTAATTTAAAATCTGAAACTTTTTTTTATATTAAATTTCCTCTCACTTGTCAAAAAGTAAATAAGCTATGTTAGGAATTTTTGCACTAAGAATAATTACTATGTTTGGGAGTAAAGTTAAGTGAACAACTTTTATATTCACAGCTGAAAATTAGTGAAAAGTGAATCCATTTGACCATTAAGCCTCTGCAGTCCCAGACAAAAATCTATTTGACCAATAAGTGTCTACAACAGGGGGTGAAGATAAATTTCAGTAATTTTTCTCTATTGTAAAATTTATCACAATCGAATGTCAAGCTATAGTAAGAAATATTGAAGTGTATAATTATTTACATATATATATATATATATGTGTGTGTGTGTGTGGTGGTGTGTGTGTGTGTGTGTGTGTGTGTGTGTAAGAAACATTAGTCAAATATATAAAAGATAAATTACATTTAAATTAACAATATAAATTAATTTCCCCTCTGTATTCTAAAAATAGTAATCTCTATTTGCAGTGCGTCATTTCGATATTTATCCATGCCTTATGATTCTTACATAATTCTGATGATGTAAATGAAACTAAAAAAGAGTCAATAATAATTTTACAGCAGATTATTAATTATCCCATCAAACTGCATTGAGAACCAAAACTAACTCAATCTGAATTAACCAAAACTAAAAAAATAAACTATTTTTACTTTGTTAATGAAACTCTTTTGTTAAAAACCAAATTCTGACAAATGAGCTGTTTTCATATCGTTCATTCGGTGCACATGCAATTTTAATTTGACAGCCAGTAATAAACTCAAACAGGCAATAATAATTTTATAGCAGTATTAATTATCCAATCAAAATTCACTGAGAACCAAAACTAACTGAATTATAATTTTATCGTGAACTTAACCCTTCTGCTCTTTACTCTTCGGCCTAACGGGTCTGCTGAATGCTGCTTCTTTTTTACTGCAAAGTTATCAAAAATGTAAATTGGTACAAATGATGTGCCAATTTGTTTGTGTCCGCAACATGTTTACTGTTATAAAATGAAGATTTAAACTGCTTCGGCTGCCAGTTTATTATTCATGATGGATCTAGCTTTCTACGAAGTCAACATTCATGCTGTTCATTACTTCTAAGTTTGTTCTATTACTTATATATACATATATATGTATACAGAGATTAGGTTGTCGTTATTATTATCAAGTTTTGTCGCAGTTGGTAAATGTTCTCTAAAACCATTACAAACTTTCATAATATTCTTAGTTTAAGTTAAAGTAAATTATTTAATTACTTTATATATGTTGAGTTATCTGAAAGAAATGTCAGTCTAAGAATTTAACATTAACTGTCCATATATGTGGACATTGGTTCCTACAACTCATCCGCCTTTTCCTAAATCTGGCAACAGCTACAGCAGCGAGATACTTCTTCAAGCTGCGTGAGGAAATAGAGAGAATTCCATTCCGATGAGGTTATGACGTGGCGATGGCTGGAGCTGAACTATGCCGCTCGAAAATATTGCCTGATGATGTAATTCCGTTTCATGATGAATCGAACTTTTTATTTTAAGTCTTTTCACTCTGTACATACCATAATCAGGTTTATTCTTTCATTATTAAATATCTTTAAAGTGCCACTGCTTTCCTCTATTTTGATCCTAACCTCATCCCACATATATTTGAATTAAGAAGTGTAACCAACAAAAATGTCTTACAGTTACCGATTAGCTTTCACACAGGAAATTGTAAAAATCTAAATTTTTCTCTCTACAGATATTATTACTGTTTATTTATGTTTCGATAAATACTTAATAAGCGAAGTTTAAAATTAATTTAAGGTACTTTTATTCTGTTAATGAAACTTTGCATTTAAAAAAAATCCGACTCGTCAGCTCTTTTCATATCCTGCATTCGGGTCGCATGCAATACAAGTTTGAGACCACTGTCCTAATCCATTTGCAAATATAAACGTCGGATCATTAACATTAAGAGAAGAACTTAGAAAATCGCAGCATATTAGACAATAATTTCTTTCTCAAAAGCTCTTTCGGTCAATATAAATGTCGTAAACACGAAAGAAATAAATCTGATATAAAAGCTTCACAAAGAAAATAATTTTATTCCTGCAAAAAAAAATTTTGCAAGAGTAGTTTATAATCTGATTGCCACGTGCGATGTCATTTTACATTGCACTCAAAATGCATCAGATATGTAAAATCCACACATTTTTCTTTACGGCAGAGAGTCATATTTATTTTTCTCATTTTTAAGGGCATAGTAAAGAAGCATATAATATCACTTGTTGTGAGTTATTGTATAAAATGGACTCTCGCCTTTTCCATTATCGAAAAATCCCCGAGGAAATTTAGTACATTTAAAATTCCTCAATGATCATGTAACAGAGAGGAAATTCTTCGAAAATAATCTGATTTTTTGAAAGAGATAGAACTAAGGGAGATGGCCTGTAGAAAAAACCATAAACGTAATATAACCTCGAGCTCGAGAGAGGAATGCTTTTACTTAATAGCTGGCTCTGCTCATAAAATATTATGCTATGTTAATCCCCATTGCGTTTACTCATATAAAAATGGCGTAGTTCTTTTTGCCAAGAAATTTATACTAAGAACACGAACTGAGTACAAATGCATCTGGTAATGGGGTTAAATTTCCGCAAATGGTTACTTTCTCGGAATAAGTAGAACTCACCTCTGAAATGGAGCTGATGTAGTACGATAGCTTGTGCATTTCAAAAGACAATCTCTCTTTACCCAAGCGCTGCAAAAACTGTCACATTAATATGGGGAAGGATGGATGATAAGCATAACTACAAACTCATGAAGTTAAACTAGGATTTATTTATTTACATTAGAATGAAAAGAAAAGTAAAAAGAATAATCTTCAAAACACTTTGGACACGTCTGTCCTCACTATCGTTCACGTCTCATCTCGTCTGACCACACGACACCAAAATATGGAGAAGGATTGATGATAAGCATAACTACAAACTCACGAAGTTAAACTAGGATTTATTTTATTTAAATTAGAATGAAAAGGAAATTAAAAAGAATAATCGTTAAAACACTA